GTTTTGGATCCACGCTTGCTGCGAAAAGTACGCGACGCGGCCGCCCACAAACACCGTGCCTTCGTACTTGTCCATTTCGCCGAGCAGCGCCGCGCACAGCGACGACTTGCCTTCGCCGACCGACCCATGGACCACGACAAACTCGCCGCGCTGGACGGTCAAGTTGACGTCCGTGAACAGCGGCTTGGCGGCGTCCCACCCAAAACGTGCCTTTGTGATGGCAATCTCGACATTCTGCGCGTTGAAAATCGCCGCCTCAGCTGGGGTTGCGGTCGTCCGCGTCGTGATATTTGTTGGATCCTTTTCGTCCAGGTCGAGGAACTCGGCGAAGCGCCGCACGGCCACGAGCGCCTGCATCATGCTCGCAACGATTGTAGGTAGCCCGCTCAGTGGAAACCTGAGCAAGTTGAACAGCGTGAGCGCGGTAAACATCTTCGTGGCGCTCAGCGACTGCTGCATCACGAGAGTATACGTGGCAAACGACACGATCGTGACGAGGACCGGGCCGAGGTACAGCACGGCCGTGCTCGCGCTGGCCAACGTAAAGATCCGCCACAGAGTTGCGAGCTCGGCGTTGCGTTTGGCGGCAAGCTTGTCGCCAACTTTGTCCTCCCACGCGTTCATCTTGATGATTTGCATGGCGCCAAACACTTGGTCGACGCACTTCATGCGGTCGTCCTTACACTCCATGAGAAGCTTGAACGCGCCGTGCTGGATGGCGGCGAGGAAGTTGTTGCCGACCAACGTGACCACGATGACTCCGAACCCGACGAACGTCGCCCACCCGATCACGTTGTACAGCATCACGGTCGTCGCAATGACCTGGACGGGGATGAGCCACAGTTGGTTTGCAAACACGGAAAAGTTGAGAATCCACGTGATGTCGTTCGAGAACAGGTTGGCGATCTCGCCGGCGGTCTTGTCTCGCCGACATTTCGTGTCCAGCGCGATGGCTTTCTGGAAGAGCAGGTGCTGCAGGGCAGACGTGATGCGAACGGCAACCACCTGGTTGTCCAGGTTGGCGTGGGCTGTTATCACGGCCTGCACGACTTTGACCACGAGCAGCAGGACGATGCGCTGTCCTATCGCGACGGCGTCGAACTCGTCGGGCGACTCGACGGCTGCTAAGATCTCGCGCAGCACCCACGGCCCGAGCAGTGTGCCGCCGACCGCGCCGAGCTGTAACAAACCGGCCAACGCAAACCTCCACCCGTACGTCGCCACGATGGTCCATAAGATGGACCGACGCGCTTTTTCAAAGGCGGGTTCGAACTGGCTGCTCACATGGTGGCACTGGTTCGCAGGTTCCAGGGGCCACAAGTCGTCGGGCTGCAATTGACGTTGGTTGCCCAGTGCCAAGAGGGGCGACGCCCAAGTGAAAAACGTACGCGAGAGCCACCCTGCCTGCACGGTAGGGTGCCATCGACTGTGCTTGTCGTCGCTCGGTCGTGTGCAGTCGAGCTTGAGGGACTCGTACCTCGTTCTGGGCATGGTAAGATCGATTTTGATGGGCAGTTGGTTTCGCGGAATTCCCGATGGTGGTGGCTGAGACCCGTGACAAGCCAACCACGGTGGCATGCGAAGGTCGCCACGAGCGGTTTCAACGTCCTGGGGGTGGGAGGGGGGGGGGGCGTTCGGGTACTCCCCGCTCTCGTCGGGGCGGATCCTGGGCCCGTGGATATACAATGTTGGGGACAAGTCGTGCGGAGGGGGGGCTGCGTCCGTCGAAACGTTTCCGACATTACTGTACCGACACGAGAGGATGCTGGCATGCAGGTAGCCGCGCCGCCGAAAGATGTACCTGTCCGAACGCCAGCGAAATCGTTTGCTTGACAGCTCCCGACTGGGGGGAATCAAGATCCTCGTCCGTCGCGTACGATGTGGTCTCGCCAGCGTATCGACGCAACCGATCGACACCGAGCCGCAGCTTCCAATCGCTCCAACGACGCGGTCATGCGTCAAACTCGAGCAGAGGAGACGCCGCCGAGACGACGGCAGAATAGGCCGCCGACGACTGTGGCCTCGGATCTTTCAAGTTGATGAGATGCAATGGAATTTTCGAATCACGGCCAGCACAAACGTCAGTAACGTTTTCGTGGACAGAGTCGCCAGGCCCATCCAAGCCTCCACTGCATCACGCGACATGCCAGCGAGTGCGATCCTCGTGCTGTGTACATCGTCAAACTGCACTTGCGATCCAGTGGCGATCGTGTGGCAAGGAACTGCAAACTGGACATTCAAGGGATTTGAACGGGTTTCCGTTGTGGGCTGTTTATACTCTCTCGGTATTCAACGCCGTCGCCAGCGATATAATAACCCACGGAGTGGAACTCAAGACCAGCCTGTCAACGCGTTGTTCCATCACGATGGCAGGGTATTCCTGTGCGCGCCTTGGCATGCCATCGATCTCGTCCATCCCCAACGGATGCATGTGTGTATCTTTGGTCGAGCATGCTTCCCCCACCCCCTCCATACCGTTTCATCCTTCTCGACCGGTGTGCCTTGCTTCGCATGTACAGACTTGACGGGGGCGCCTCTCGTATCGTCGTGGTTTCCCCCCGTGTGCGTTTTGTCGCCGGCATTCAGTACAAGAAGAATAGTGCGGCAGTTGTGTGTGCTTGCGTTTGCAAGGCGACCTCCCATGCCTCGTTTCACTTGTCATGACGTGGGTGACGGACGAAGTACTAGCTCAAGCCCGGCATCCCGACGCCGGCCTGGCGTCGTGAATGGGTGGCTGAAAACCACCGAGCACCTCGAAGTGGTACGTTGGGTGTTACAAATCCAACGCCGTGTCCATCGCAACAACCCACCATAGAGAATGTATTGGCAAATACAGCTATCACATCGCGTGGTTTCTCTTTTTCGACGATGGAACCTTTCACTATTTTGACCACACTAAGTTGTGGTGAAAACTTCAGCATGTACTTTGAGCGGGATTATTTCAGCCAATCAGACACGACATACAATGTGCAGGGAATGATATCGTTTTGATAGGTTGAAATACAACCAATCAAACGGAATCATTTTGATAGGAAGGCAGGAGTAAAATTGGATTGGGTAAAAATAAACCAATCCACGAACACTGTCCATGTACCGACATGCGAGCAGTCGGCCAACTTCGTCGACCTGGGCTTGCTTGTTACACTTGCGATTTGGAACCTATGGCAGCCAAGTACCAGTCCGTGGCCTTGGAGGCCAAGCTAGAGAAGCCTGCGGGCCATCCTCTGGACAAGGCCAGCATCGTTTCCAAGTTATTCCTTTCATGGGCGACTCCGCTCTTGACACTAGGGAACGAGCGGCAACTGGACTCATCTGACATTTGGGCGCTGCAGGACGACTACCGGTGCCACACCACGAGCACCGCGTTTGAGCCGACGTTCAAGCACACCCGGTCGATTTTGTGGACGATTTTCATCACGTACGGGTGGCGGTTTGTGTTTATTGGGGTGCTGCAGGTTGCCACGGTCGCGTGCACGTTGTATGGCCCGATCGTGTTGCGCCAGATCCTGTCGGCCGTCGAAACCAACTCGTTCGACGTCAGTGCGATTCTGAAGCTGGTCGTGTCGTTGTTTGTGGTCAAGTTGGTCGCCGCGCTCTTGTCGGCACACTCGAGTTTGGAAAACCAGCTCATTTCAGTCAAAATTACGTCGGCGCTGCAGCACTTGCTCTACCAAAAGACGATGCACTTGGACTCCAAGTTTCGCCGCGAAAAAACGGCCGGCGAAATCGCCAACATGTTTTCCAACGACATCCAGTACATCATAAACTTCTCCATCAACGCCAACCAGCTGTGGCTCGTGCCGGTCCAGGTCGTCGT